GCCTGAGCAAGCTTTACTACAGGTAAAGGCACACCTCACAGCTGAGTCCCACTACTGCATAACGCAACGTGATTTCACGGGCACTGGTGACCTCAACACACCCCTCACATCCTCCAGTGCGAAGACACCACCAAGAAGGACACAGCAGCTTTTTGCAGTTGTTTGGATGGTCTTCATGCAAAACTATCAGTTGTCTGAACTCTTTATATAAAAAACAGTTTTAACTTTTAGTTTACCTGGTCCTGGCTAGTCCTAGAATACGTGAGGGTCAAGCAGCAAAGTTGTTACTCTGGGGCTGCAGATTCAGCAAGTTCCCTTCAGGTCCCTCGGCAAAGCCGTGGCAGAACCAGCCGTGAATTCACCAGCACTGTCTGTGCCAACAGCCCCACCACGCGGCCAAGCACACCTCCATCTCCTCCATCGCCTCTTCCAGCTCAGCCCACCGCCAGAGCAGAAAGGTCTCACGAAGCGCTGTTGAAAAATAAAGGACTTGCTGGGCTAGCCCAGCCCTATTCGCTTTTCCAGCCGAAGCTTTGAATGAAGGCAGACCTGGGGAGTGGAAGGAAGGCTTCCTTCCTTCGCAAGGAAAGGAGCAGCAAGACATGCAAGCAGGGAAGAGGTATCACATCGCCTCTCGAAGTTTCGTTCGTGTTCATATACCGCGCCAAGCCATCGTCTAAGTCACCCGCCCATTTCCCCTCTTACCCATTGCTACTTCTTCTACTTGCAAAGATACCAACTTTTGTATATGTTATTCAAAAAAATTGGAACAAAGCCCTGTCCTCCCTGAGACAGCAGATCCTCACGGGCAGGAGACACTTACCTTCCTTTTAATAGTTTATGGCGCGTGGAGTCTGTGCAGAGGAAGGATACTGAAATAACAGGAGGTCCAAGCTGTGCTGTCCATACGTATATTCTGGATGTTCATATGGCTGAGCTTGTAAGAGGAGATATTTTCATCCCAGTGTTAACGTACAGCACCCTCCCAGCAGCGCAGCAGCCGCATATGACAACTCTGTTGATGAGCTCCGTGCCGTGCCCTCCCCTCTCCCCATTTCCCCCCATACACACTTTTTCTTCTTTTTAAGTTCTAAGCTAAAACTGTTGTGCTCTAAGGAAGGAGGTTTGGGGACAGGCTGTGGACAAGCTGACAGACATTTCATCTTAAACTTCCCCCTCCTGGAAAGTGATCTTCTGAGCATAACCTATATTCACACTGACCTCCCGGGTGATCTAAGCTGCTGCCTGATCTATGCAGGTGCCCTAAAGAAGGGCTCTAGTAAGACCCAGACCATTAGTAAGACCCAGACCATGCTAAATCAGAGCACAGAGCAAGTGCTTGGGCTCTGCTCTGTATCCATCTGAATTGGCATCGAGGTTACCTGGTTACTCAAGCACACAAGCAGAGATATAAAGCCAATTTTACAGGGTATTTATAAAAAGATGGAGTAGATGTTAAGTCTCCCGCATAGGTTAGCGTGCTCAGATCAGGGCTACGTCCTGCCCTGGCTTCCCAAAGATCACCAGAAGCAGTATGCGTATGGCCTTCCACATACGGAAGGCGCACACGTATGGCCCAACAAAAGGATTATGAACAAGTCAGATATAAACAAGCCCATCTTAAACATCTGATGATTGTTAGCATCAGAAGTGGTTACTGCTTTAAAAGACATTCTGGATCATTATATAGCTACAATAATTTTCTGCTATACAGAAGGAATAGGCAGTATTAATCTATGTATATACAGTATGTATATATATGTGTACAGTAAGTTAGAGACTTTGCCAAAAGAGCTACGGCAAACTATTCCTGCCCAGGTGGGCAACCAAAATGACTTGGTGCCATACGCACTCAGAGAAGGGGAGACACTATACATATATTGCCAGACTAATACGTTCATATGGAGCACTCACCTCAGTAGAAATTACATGTTTGCTTGCAGGATTGGGAGCCAAGAATATTTTTCATGTTACTCTTTAAACCTAATATCTAGCCACAAATATACTCACGCATGCACTCTGTATTTCTGTACTGCTAAAGATTTCACCCTGACATAATCCATGTGCCGAGTACAAGGTGTAGCCATGAACACCGCTGTTAGCCATATATGCTTTTTGTGTGGGGTTTTTTTTTTGTTGTTCTTAAAACTCCTCAAAACCAACATTTGACCCTGATACTACAGGCAGCATACACACATTTGGAACGCACGAGACCAGAAAGCCTTGCAGCCCAAGCAGTACAATGCACATTTATGTAGCATATGAAATACTGAAGTACATCCCCCCCCCAAAATAAATCAAACTACACATTTAAACAGCGTCATGCCAAGCTGTATAGCAGCTACTGACATCCAGGTACTCTCTCAGAGAAGGCTGTGAAGGTCTTGTTCCACCAAGTCAAGCCTGGCTATTCTCTTCTATCAGCCTCACAGTAGACGTCCATCTATAACCCTCTTATTTCAAACCAGCGTCTCAAAAGAAAGGAGTTTTGCAGTTTTGTTTGATTTAGGCCTCGGCAGAGGGCTCTAGGCACTTAGAAGTACTAACAACCAAAAAACCCCACGCAAATAAGAAAGTTTTGAATAGCACTGCCCTCTTGAGGGAAATTGAGTTGCATCACCTTAGCAAAGCCATCCTCCCTTCACTGCTATTCAGGTCACACTAGAACTCCCCCCACTGCCTTGCCATATGGTCCAAGATGAGTAGAAGTTCTTGAAAAGCAGCAGTGCTCACACCTAGGAATCAATTACCTCCAGATAAAAATATAGGTTTGGTTATGTTTTATTTATAGGTACTTTAGGTACAAGCAAATAGGCCACTCAAGGCACAAGAGCCAATTGGAAACACACAAACCTGTTCCTGGAAATCAGAAGTTTTGTTTCTTCATGAATTGTGGCCTTTTATTTTACCCAACAGCTGGTGGTACAAAAATCCAAGAGCAGGAACCAGAATCCAGCATTTTCTTTGTCTTACAAATTCCTCATCACTGGGCTATATAAGCACGATCATCTCTAGCCTAAAAGTCTTGATCTTTATATGCAGTTTCCTGAAGGACAGTAAGCTTATCCCGTCAAAATCATCTGCTAGCTGGAGTAATCCCCTGCAGTATTTATTTCAAGCTTTTGGGAATTTCTTTCCCAAGAGCTGCTGTAACATCTAGGCTGTAGAATGCAACCTCCAACCAGTCTTTGTGAGGAAGTAGATACTACTCCTATATTTTTAGAATACCAAGTCACATGAGTTTACTTTGAATCATTATAGCATCACTAACAAAAAAGAATAAGCCACACCCCAAAATTCTCAGAGAAGGTAGAGGAGGAAAGCTTGGCTTCCAGTATCTTGTCAAGCTAGGACATAGGCTAGAGTGACATGAGAAGCAGGAATATCAAGAAAGCTCAGGAAAAATCTCTACACAAGCCTTGCCATCTGTCTACAAGAACATCATAGCATTAGAAGTCTGGAAATATCTAAAAAAAGTTATCACAGTTTTGCACTTACATTGTCCTGATTTTCGGCTGGGATAGAGTTAGTTTTCACAAGCAGCTGGCAGGGGACCCAGCCAGGACAGCTGAGCAAACTAGCCAAAGGGCTAATCCATACCTTAGGGCATCATGCTCAGTATATAAGGGGGGAGCTGGCCCTGGGAGGAGGGATCACTTCTGGGGTCCGGGCAGCAAGCACACCGCATTGGGTATCCATACATTCTAAGTACTGTTGTTGCTATTTTCCTCTCCCTTTGCTGTCCCAGTAAACCGTCCTTATTCCAACTCATGAGTTTTGGCTTTTTATTCCAATTCTCTTCCCCATCCCACCAGGGCAGAAGGAGCAAGCAAGCAACCATGTGGTGCTCAGCTGCAGCTGGGGCTGAACTACAACAGACATCAAGTTCATTAGCAAGTGCTGCCAACAAGAAACAACATCTTCCCATAGACAGTATCTGTGTCAGGCTAGAATCTATGCTATGGCAAAGGAGTGGAGCACACCCGCACATGGAGAACATGCTGCGTTAACACAGCACAGGAGGAAATACTCATTAGAAAACTCACTTCCACAGCACAATACCCAAAACATCACTAATTTTTCCATGTGTGGCCTAGTGTATGAAATCCACAAAGAATTTTTCTGTGCCTTAGAGGTATTTAACATATTTAGCTCTTGGGGAAAAAAATCTGCTACCTTAACAGTTAGAGTTCTGCTGGTCTCTACACTAGATGCTGTTGCACAACATTGCAGGACTGGGTTGAAGAGTAAGCTTCATGGTTTCAAGTGAGTGGTGTTATACGCTTACCGTCCTATCACATGGACTATATTTGATGGAAATGGGAAATCTCTATGAGAAGCTTTAAAGAATAATTAAACAAATTAAACTAAACAAAACCAGAAAGATTATCTATACAGGCTTGAATCCTCCTCCATTATAAAAAGCTTTTAGTAGTACACATTCCTACAAATGTACAACTGAAGTTTTTAAATTGGAATGTTATCTCAAGTCAGTTGGGAGAGTAGGGAGACATAAGAGAAATAGGGTTAAATATCCTTATATATCAACTATTTAAAAAATGAATATTTTATTTCTTGAAATAATTAAAAACACCGTGGCAAACTGAGTGCCATCACAAGTTACAGTAAAAACCACTCATCTATAGGGGTTTTTTAATAGCACTAAGCACCCAAACACAGACTTCCTAGTAAACACAGATGAAGGTTCAATACCTCAGAGCAGAAACAGTGAATTCAAGCATCTAGAGGTACCGTACCATTAACCAGAATGATACTCTTGAGTGTTTAGTCACCAATAATCACAATGAGAATTGGCATTTACATGGATGCTACTGCTCCATCAGGATTTAATCTTAATTGAATGATGGTAGTGGAATATCACCCATTACTGACTTATCTTGTGTCCACTCAGGCCAGACCAAAGCACCAGGTCTCCCCAGATTAAAGTTTGCAGAACAGTTTCTACAAAAAGCAGGATTCTATCTAAATGTCGAGCAATTTGGTGTTAGCAAGACTTGCATTATTACCACTAAAAAAATCAGGTACTGACTGAAACAATACAAACAGGCTAAACCAAGTGTTTTCTTATCCACATTAGCAAGTTCACAACATCAAGATCTGTCTAGAAAGTTAAATGTGTTCTGACATGGTTTTTGAGAAAGCTGGCTTTTGCCTGGAATAATTATCCATCCCGTACAAAGCACAAGCTTTGTTCAGATATGAGCGTAAACATCATGAAAGTGGAATACAAGTGAAGACAGGTCTAAGAACTACTTCCAGGAGTCTGAACTCTAAACAGCCCCTTCTTCAGTTCAGCAATTTTATCTTCTCTTGAGGCTGCATAACTCTTTGCTGTCTTAATGAGAGAGTCATGACGCTTCTCCAACCCAGCCTTCAGATTTAGGTATATTTCCTAGAAAGAGGAGATAAAAGAAAAAGCCCATCAGCAAAGTTAACATTTCTACTTTATAAGGATATAAGTGAGAGTGGTCTGGGGGTCTCAAGTGATTTCAAAGGTATCTCATCCCTAGCTTAAGAAGCAGCATTCACAGAACACAGGAACGATACAGAACCTAAGAATAAGAGCAGCCACAAGCAAAATCCCAATGTTAGGATTCTGTGTAACTCTAGTGGTCGCAATACTAAGACGGTCAAACAACCAGCACTAGTCCAGCAGTCACACCACCACTGCCCCATTCTGCGCTAGCCTGTGTCATCAAAGTCTCTCTGCCACTGTGACTGCTACCGCTGTTCTCCCAGCATGGACAGTGCTTCAGTAGTGAACAGATAGGATGAGACGCTACAGATGGACTATGATCCCCTACTCCCAACCCATCAGGATTTCTGCCCCTTTCCAAAGCTGAACTGGACAGTCATCTTCCTGAAACCCTAGAAAGAAAGGGTTTGTGACATGGCAAATGGTCCTGTATTTGAGGGAGACAGAGGATTACAGTACTGCCCATCACTACAACACAGATGTAAAGCCTCACAGGTCAGGTCCCAGGGGCCAAACAAGAAAAAAAAAAATCTAATTGCTCAGAGCTGGAAATACCATGATACAAAAAAATGGACATCATGGAACTAGCATAGTATCTGCTACAGACACGGGTGGGAAGACAAGTTTAATTTCACCTCCCAAAATATTGGGCAATCACACCATTCCAGTCTGCAAAGACCACTTCTCCTGTGGGCCATCTGCAGCCTGCACAAGCCCTAGCAACCTAGTGGCACCACAAGCAGGAAGTGCTCTCTCTCCCACTATCCACCCAAACCACCACCTGCACCAATAAGTGTTCCTTTATCTACACAGCCCAAGTTAAAAATCACTTTGATAACACCAAAGAGGTTCCTTTGCGGGGGGGGGGGCCGGGGTGGAAATCTCACCTTGGCTTTCATTTCTTCTTTTTCAGCATTCTCATTCAGCTGCTGAATTTTGAACCTTATCTGTTGGATTTCCTTATGAATGGCTGTGACTTTATCATATACAGCACCCCTCTTCTCCTGAACTCTGTTACAATATCTAAAGGTGAGAAGAAAAAGTTAGTACTGAGCCATTTAACTAATTCCAGATTAAACTAACCCCACCACAAGCAAAGCTTGCATTTTATAAGCATGAAACTAGCAGCTTCTACAAGCAATGCTGTATAAAATTTATTTGCTGGAAGTTTGTCCAGTTCTTAAACTAGAACAACTTAGGCACGAGAAGTGAAATTCAAAGTGGAGCTAGAGAGTTATGTTTCAGCATAATTGAAAGTCACATTCACCTTAGCCTTAGATCCCCTCCTACCAAGTTAAGAGCTCTGATCGCATACTTCTACATATGTTACCGGCAACTTCCAGTCCATCATTTCATTGCATCCCAAAGAGCAAACCAGTATTTCCCCAGCTTGGAGGTAAATTCAGATAGCTCCAGCTGTGGGCCACCATGTGATCAGCAACAGGTTAGGGTAGGAACAGGAGATCTACTCTGACTTCAAGTGCAAGAACACACCTACCGGTTTATGGTAAGCATTTGTACAGTAATTACAGTTGGAACTATAGCAGCTGCTTTCTCTAAAGAACAGCTGAAATCACTCATACTTAGCAAGAGCCTACTTACATCATCTTCCCTCAAGGGAACAGCCAGGACACATTCTCTTACTCCCTAGCAAAAAACTCTTGTTTTCAAACCAAGGTTACCTCCCTTCCCCTCTTGCTTATCAAAGCATCTAGCTTTATCACTCAAGGGAAATATCTAACATTAAACCCAGATAAATTGGCACCAACTTATAACATAAAGGAGGATCAGATTATATTATTTATTTTCATTCTTTATTTGAAATGAAAAGTAGCTTTTAATTGATCTCCTTTACCTGCTACAGTACACTTTTTATTTGAAATGAAAAAGTTGCTTGTAATTGATCTCCTTTACCTGCTACAGTACACTAGATGAGGAGCAAATTAAGCCTAGGAATCTTGCTGCCATTCTACACACCATACGAGCCTTATCAGCATGATTAAGTCTTAGTTTACTCAGATATGTGGAAAAAAGCTCTCTTCCATCATAGTTAATCTACCCAGCCAATAATTTTTCCATATTCCATTTCCTACCACATACAAAAATTGTTACGTAGTAAGCTTTCTCCATAGGAGTTCAGCACTTCTAATCTCACAGTGAAGCCGTGACCTTACAACACTGCAGTTTGCTGCTGCAGAAGCAACTGCCATGCTGTAAACACTGCCTTGCAACTTGCCTTCAGCATACGGTAGGAAGGAAGATGGGCTAAGAGGCTTTGATCAAATGACACTTTTCCTTTTGTTTTAGAAGCATCATGTCAGGATAATACTCCTCTGAGATACAAGCCCCATTTCCCCATGGGTCTTGAACATCTTTGATAATGAGCAAAAGTGGCAAGGGAAATTATGAAAAATTCATGAAAGGCAAATGGGGCTTTGTTGAAGTCTGATAAGTTGGAAAATTATCCCAATGTGACATTCTCTTTAAGAAGATAAAAGAATCAAGAATAAGCATTATAAATTAAATTAGCACTCCAATAAAAGAATTGCTGTCAAGTCACATTGCAATTATTGATTTGAGACCCCAAGTCCCTGCCTGCAGCATTACTGGTCTTCATACAAAGCTATCCCACATCACTCGTTTTCTTCTTACTGCTAAGTTACATGTTTGTACCAGACGCGAAGTTTGGTAGCACATAACGAAGACATAAAGTAGCATCAGGCAGAAGTGTCAACTCATCCATACTCAAATACAGTGTGCTTATATTGCTCAACATCCTCACGCTTCTTTTTTATCCTTATTTCAGCTGTAGACAGCTTCTCGTGTTTTGCAGTGACCAGTCTCTTTAAGGACATTTCATCTGTCTTCCCCTTTTTCAGCTCTATCTGAGCACTCTCAAGCTGGTCCTCCAGATTTCTGACCTAGAGTACATAAGTAGTATTGAAATAAATTAAATTGGGGGGGGGGAACCAATCGAAACAGCATACCCTGTTAGTTTACAAAGATTAGAACTAGCTTCCTGCTTTTGAAGATTGATTGCTAACTAATTCTCCCAGCTAAATCCCTGTTCCCTAGTCTTTATCCAATTTTAATTACATCCAAATGGACAAAATTCCACCACTTAGAACACATAGTAACTTCTGAAAATCATTCTGCTATAGCTCTTAGCCACGGGTAATTTGAACATATGCTATACAGATACCCCAAAAGACTGCATACCATTTTTCAAGTGCTCCTAACAATTGCATTCTCCCAAAACCGAGTAGCAAATAACAAGGTATTGTATTGCGACACACATTTCATCAAGGAAAGGCTGGCTTAGTAACATTAATAAAGGCACTTAAGACATGACTTTTCTTGAAGCAGTAATTTTTTTTGCTCTTAGTTTCTTCTCTCTAGGCAGAAGAAACTGGACCTCACTTTTCTTCCTCCATCATTTCCTACCAACAACCTCAAGACAGTTCAAACTATTTTAGGTCAGGTTTCTATGGCAACAAAGGCTTTCACTATTAAAAGTAGTCAACAGTACATTAGCTAGTGGCATGCAGCAAAGCAGCCACTCTGTTATACTGATATGTGTAAGAATGAGATTTTGAAGTCATCCAAATTCTTTCTTTCTTTCTGGGGAAGAGAAGAGATGGGAACTTTCAAAGTACAGACATTTACTGATGATCACTTATCTTGCTTAGACATTAAATTCTCCCTAACTAGATATAATTTGGATAATGCAAACCTCTGATAATACGCTGGCCAGTCTCTCCACATTTGTTCCCTGTCTTTCCATCTTCTTTTGATATAACTGCACCTCCAGTTGGCATGACGGCAGAACCTCAACTAGGTCTCTATAACCTTCATATTTCTCAATAATTTCTTGCTTTAGAGAGAAAAGACTTATATTAATAAAACAGCTTTGGAGTTCAACAGTTATTTTGTTTGGTATTAATGCATATCGACTTTTATACCTATTCCCTTGTTGTTTAAACATACACTGGAATTAATAATTAGTAGTTACTGAAATTAAATCTTCAGGTTGTAAAAAAAAAGCATTTACTTGGAAAGCACAGGAAAAGTGACATACAAGTGCTTTACACTGAATTAACTAGCTTGTTACAAGAGCTTTCAGGACAGAGAAAAGCTGTACAGTGAAGAAATTCTATACTGGTAAAACAGGAGTTATGTAAAGCATCATAAATACAGATGCCTGGAATTAGCAATAAAGTTTACACCTTTGAACAAAAATGCATAGGGAGACAAAAGTTATGCAAGCTTCACTGATGTATGAGCAATCATGAACTACAAACATTTAAAAACTGGACATTACCATAAAAAACCCAAAAAGCTAGGAAGGGAAGTCAGTATTCAGGATATTAGTGGTGACAGCCATCAATTCCAGAAACAGTGAATGATAACAGAGACACTATGAAGCATTTGCTCTAAGTCTAAGGACATTTGTGAGCTGTCATGTCTTGAGAGCAAACAGCCAGATAGGTATAGTATAGCTTCAAAAAAAAGCCAAAACACCACCACCCCCAAAAAAAAACCACCAACACAAACAAAAAACAAAAATAAAAAACCACCCCCTACAACCAGCCTTCAGTTCTCTGAAGCTGTGATTTCATTTCAGACTAACCACTGTTCTGTTGACTTTTGACTAGAAGTATAAGTCATTCAAGAAGCAGTTTTAGATGATGACAGTTCAGTAAAACATGCGCTCTCCAAATAGAATACCTCCTTGTGCGGACAGAGGAAAACCTCACCTTGGATTTCTTGAGTTTCTTAACAGTCTCTTTCATCAGTTCTTTGTAATTTTTCAGTTCCTCTGGACTCTCCACAATTTTTGATTTCAGCTGCTCTTGTTCTTCTTTCAAAGTAGCCATTGTCACTTTAAGGTCATTCTAGTTAACAAGGCAAACTTTAAATATTAGCAATTAGGTGAACAAAGAAGAATTGAGGCATGGTTTGCCAGGATCTTATGACTAGACAGGTCCTTCTCTGTTGTAAGTCATTCCTCATTAGGAAGTTTGTTTTAAAAAGAAATTCCTCTAAACAGCATTAACATTCCCAAAGTTAACAGTCCATTTTGCTCCCTGAACAAGCTTACAGGGGTGCAATAAGTCACAAGATCATTTAACTAGTATTCCACAAAGCCTGACAGCTAATACATATTACTAGCAGCTTTCTCCTTCAGAACCCCTCACGCAGAGCAACCCAGGCAGTCACTGCAGGGTTTCAGAGCCAGCTGTATGAACCTGGTAAAAGAGCAACAAGCCCAAAACATCTCAAAAGCCTTCTGTTTTGTCCCCACCAGGTCAGTGGCTGCCTCATTAGCCATTTTCTGCACCTAAAGTACACCCATAGCTTCTCAGAAGTCCAGATATCTTGCCCTTTAACAGATCAGCTTCCTGAACAAAGAGCTTTACATTGCAGAGATGTGCATTTAAAGTTAACAACAAAACAAGCCACTGCAATAAAGTTTCCGTAGGGAAAAAAAAATGTGAAGCCAAATCAGTTTTTTGAAGACTAATAATCACCACCTGAACATTACCTAGGTCCAAGAATAATGTGATCCCAGAAAGAGAGATGATCTATTAGTTGATCCGAGATGCAAGCTACAGCCTACACAGAGGTGTACTTACCAGCTTTCGGGTACTCTCTGCAATATCCGACTTCTTTTGTGAAATCACTTCTTGCAAAGCTGTCTGAAAAAAAGCAATAAACTTTAAATAAGCATCTCTACAACTGTTACCTCCTTTACCCTTCTGTCATAGATCTGTCTACAAGAGAAATCCCAATTACGGTTTCTTTCGAGTTCCATAACTAGACAAAATTGCTGTCTATAAGATTTAAAAGTCAGGGAAGGAGAACATTGTTGCAGAAGCCACTGGGAGCACTAGGGATGCAGCCAGCAGTAGGTAGCTAGGAACAGGAATAAGAGATAGACTACCTCTGTTCTTACTGACCCTGGCAGCATTATACATACACAGTCGTCTTTGCCAGAGGCACTGCTCTTGAGAAAAAAAACTAAGTTAATACAAGGTTCCCAATAATACACAAGTCAAGCACATGGTTAATAATATTAATAGTAGAGACATGACTTTACACAACAAAAAACCTAACCACAGATTTTTTAGGGTTTCGGGTTTTTTTCCAAAACAGCTGAAAAGATTACCTATGAGACCTCAGAGGCAAGTTGCCATTGCTGGAAAGTTACCCCTGCCATCAACCCTACTCTTTTTGCCAGGCACTCCCTTGGGTGACCCTTCTAAGGCCTCATTTCCTGCCACATCTCACCTCCAGTTCCAATTCTTCAAATTCAGGTGGAAAACAAAGCAAAAAATTCAACAGAGAAATATACACAGCGCACTTTAAAGTGCCCTTTATCCTTTCTAGAAGCAGGGGGAGAGGAACAAAATCAACAGGAATAAGGAACACTCATGATCAGAAGCCATAGCAGCATTTCAGAGAAATATATAACAAGATCATACTTGTTTCCGACGATAGTCTTGCCTTAGCAGTTGTTCCAGTTCTCGAATGTTATCTGTCAGTTGCTTGACCTCTGCTTGGTGTTCAACTGGAACAGTGCTAAGCAAAAAATAAAGATACTGGACAGTTTCAGCATCATTATAGTCAGGTCAGAGTACAGTAAATAAAACAATCACTCCCCCCAAAGAGTTTACAATCAGTAACTTTAGTAATCAGGGCAGGACAGTCTCAAATTAATACCCCTTATTTTCCTTTGCTTGTAAGGCTTTGTAGTTGAAGCACAATCTAAATAGCTATTTTGGCAAGAAGTAGTACAAGCACAGAGGACTAACTTTAAAGATCATGTTAAGCACAAAAGAACAAACAGTTCTATCAATTTGTGGTGATTTTCATTTATGAAATTTGCATAACAGTACCTGACATAGAAACAGCTTGTATTACAGTAGACCTACAGCTAACTAAAGAACCTCCTGTCTAGCACATACCAAGAGCAGCTATCAGAAAAAACCTCTTTTTTTTGAAAGCTCTCTCAGAAACTAGCTGTCTCTTCATCCTATTATCTGCCAGCAAAAACAAAACTTAATGGTGCAAAGACACAGGCAGTAGGACTAAATGGCCTGAAACAGAGAATGGGGCAAACATGTCAAATAACTAAGGAAGATAACTTTACCCATCTATTCAGTTAAAGATGAGCTTCCTACAGCTATTGAAGGGATAAAGACATATCACTAAAAACCAACCATAACAACAAAAATTTCACCATAGTCCCCAACATAAAGAAATACAGTATCCTCTCAAAACAACCATATATTCCTGAAGTCACATTTTTATTTTCTGCCAGCAGTTCTTCTAGCCTAACACCTGCAGAGCTGCTTCTGTAACTCTGAGCACATTCCAACAGTTGTATCTCTGTATTTTCTGACTTATTTCCCAGGGAGGCTAACCAGCAACAGACAACGGCCAAAAGAGAAGTCAGGTCTGCTCAAATTAAAAGTTTCTACAGTAGTTATCAAACAATTCTGCTAAATCACACAGCTTGACTACTCAGTTCCTGTTTAGGCAGCCCATATACAATCATAGAGTCATTTAGGTTGGAAAAGACCCTTAAGATCAAGTGCAACCATTGACCTAGCACCCCCAAGTCAACCATTAAACCAGGTCCCTAAGCACCACATCTACGTGTCTTTCTTACCTCCAGGGATGGTGACTCAACTACTTCCCTAGCCAGCCTGCTCCAATGATTGATAACCCTTTCGGTGAACAAGTTTTTCCTAATATCCAATCTAAATCTCCCCTGGCACGCCTTGAGGCCATTTCCTCTCATCCTATGACTTGTTACTTGGGAGAAGAGACCAACACCCACCTAGCTACAAGCTCCTTTCAGGTAGTTGCAGAGAGCAATCAGGTCTACACTGAGCCTCCTTTTCTCCAGGCTAAACAACCCCAGTGCCCTCAGCTACTCTGAGGACTTGTGCTCCAGACCCTTCACCACTTGGTGCCCATCTTTGGGCATGCTCCAGCAGCTCAATGTCTTTCTTGTAGTGAGGGGCCCAAAACTGAACACAGTACTTGAGGTGTGGCCTCACCAGTACCAAGTACAGGGGGACAATCACTTCCCTAGTCCTGCTGGCCACGCTATTTCTGATACAAGCCAGGATGCCGTTGGCCGCCTTGGCCACCTGGGCACACTGCCGGCTCATATTCAGCCGGCTGTTGACCCACACCCCCAGGCCCTTTTCTACCAGGCAGCTTTCCAGCCACTCTTCCCCAAGCCTGTAGTGTTGCCTGGGGTTGTTGCGACCCAAGTGCAGGACCTGGCACTGAGCCTTGTTGAACCTCATACCATTGGCCTCAGCCCATCGATCCAGCCTGTCCAGATTGTATGCACTGAACAGGAAAGTCAAGTAGTGCATCTGACAGTGCTTACTCCTCATACTCACTTCAGTTTCTCCAGCTTCACTGCTGCCTCACGATTTGCAGTCTCCAGTTGTTGGTGTTTCTCCACAGCCGATTTCTGAAAATTAAGTATTCAGAAATTTTTTTTTTTAATTTTAGAGGAATATAGTTTCTCTCTGGGCTTCTAATAGAGCCCTGCTCATCATTATTTCACATGAAATGCACCATCTCTGAACTATTGAGATATTCAGAAGAGAAGCCACCTGCAATTCTAGCTTCAGTCCACTGACCATTACATTTATCTATTCTCAAAACAACATGAGCTGGCAAACCTTCACTTACCAGGCTAAACTATCAAATAAGTTATGGAAAAAAACCCTCAGATAATAGCCTAAGTAATAACTTCATCATGCTGAAACCTTTATAATATTGACAAGCTCATCCACTCTTCTGAACTGACATGTTTCCTTAAGGGCTTTGCAAAGGTTTTTCATAAACCATTTAAAGTAGGTGTGCATGCTTACAACATGTAATATAGTTGTACGAGTGTTATGAAATATTAAACTGGTACCTTTCTGTATTACTTGGCTGCATTTAAGATTCTAATGTGTTACTTAAACATCCAGTTAAAAACCCACAACCTTCATGCTCCCAGTTCTAGGTTAACATTAATTATACTTAAGTAGGTATCTGGAGTAACACAGCACCCAATCTTACATAGTTCAGTTGCAACTCCAAGTAGACCTCACGTCGCAATTCTCTGAAATTCACAAAGTTGAGAATGCCACTCAAGAAGCGAGCTGTCCTTTTTGTTTCTGAAATTAGAATTGCAAGCCATCACTGTTCTGGTTTCTGCATGCATTGCGATTACATAGGAAGAGTTGGGCAAAAGGTAAGTGAGAGAAGAGACAGAAATCACAAACCAGAATCCAAATTAGTTCTTCTCCTGCTCACCTTGCAAAGATTTCAGAAACTAGACGAAAACTAGCACCAAGCTACGAACTTACAGTGTTTTAGCAATTCTATGCAACTTAACAAATGAAGAGAGCACCTAGGAGAAAGACTATTAAAATACAGCCTCACATTAAAACAGAAGCCAGGCAGAAAGAGCATCAATCTTCAACTACAGCTCTGAAGACAGAGCTTCACTGTAACTATTGGGCTAAAGACAGCAGGTTGAACTGCAGGGACTTTTTAGCTCTATTCAAGCGAACTTTATGAAAGATTATTACAAAGGCTTTGAATGTCTTAGACAAGACAGAGACAGAAGTTGAAGCCTTTTCTAAGTTGTTTGTGTTGTACCAGAATCACCACAGTCAGGTGTTGAAAAGGGTGAAGCAAAAATTCAATCGCTTCCCACATAGGTGTAAGAAATCCTACAGTATTCCAGAGTCATCAGGTTAGCTTTCATTACCATCTATTCTTACGCTGTTTCAAGTACATCACAGTCCACTCCCCAGACCAGCAGTTCAACAGACTTGTAGCATTCAAAACTTCCCACAGTTATCTAACTAGATTAGCCTACCTCAGGAATAAGGAGGAGAACTGCTCAGTAGAACCAGCTTGTCTAAAGGTCAGAAGAGCCGCTGGAATCCAGGGACAGTTTTCCATACTAGATGCCCATCTGGCTATGCCAAATGAGAAAGAGCACCTGGATATCACAGGACACCCACCACCCCAGGAAACACAAGGATTACAATGCACTTGCTTACTTGGGTTTAAAACATCAGCAATTTGAAAGTCATTAATCCGGCACACTGGAAGTAAACGCTCCCTGCAAGGAAAACAAAATGCAACCTTATCCGCAGTGATCATTACTCAGTTTTTGTGCTATATCCATTTACTAAAAACCAGATCTTGTCCTGTCATCCCAGAGCATATGTACAGCAAGCACATAACAATGTTAAGTCGCAGGAGAATAACACAGTAGGACCCTACACACAAATCAGCATTAAAAATTTGTACTCTTTGAGCATCTCAGATTTCTATAGACAAAATACCTGCCTGTAGAACAACTTTTCAGCTTAATTAGGAAACTCCTACGCTTAACTGTTAGACAGTTCTCCCCCTACAACTGAAACAAAGGTTAAAGTCCAACACTTTGCCCTGTTCATCTGCAAATTTCACTTTGCTCGGAGCCAACAAGCAGTGGAACCACCATCAGGAAAAAGCTCCACTACTTCTAGTAAACTGGACCTTTACAAGGAATAGCAACTGAACAGGTGCAGCATCTTCTACTTACATGTGAATATACAAGTTACAAACAGGTAGAAAGCCTTCAAATATTTGTGGATACAATATGTCAACGTTGACTGGCATCTAAAGAGTAAAGAGAGTCAATGCATAAGTAGAGAATACTTAAACAAAAAGACACAGGTTTGTTTCCACAACATAAGATAATTCAAATAAGTTAAACACACTGAGGATGGTGTCCCCATCCACAGGGAACACAGCTAATGCCATTGTCTGTGAAGAACCGAGTTATCTTGTACACATATGATCTTCCCTTTCAGTTTATCCAGAGCTGACACAAGTCAATACTATTTATTCTTACTTTCACAAATCAGTTCTTGTCCAACAGAGACAGAAGATAAATTAAGCGTTAATCACCAAGGTATCAGTTAACCTCCAGCTGCATTTCTCCTTGGTTTCCTCTCAGTTAAGGGAGAAGTAGAGATGATTAGACATTAAAAGCAACATTTACTTTCCCTCTAGACCAGTCTAACACTTAAGCAGAGACCGTCCTCCAGCCGTGGCCAAAGGCAGATGCCCAAGACAACAGTATGCATTTTCAATGCCAGAGATGGTGTCCCTTTGTAAGTTTGTCCAGTCCCTCCTGGACCTCACAGACATCTCTGGCACCCGCACCATCTCAAAGAAAAGAATTCACAGCTTAACCACAGAAGGAGAGAGGTCTCCACTGAGCCTTTCCTTATAGCCTACAGCAGTAAGCGAGCTCTTCTTCACACCTACTAGTTCCTGTAGTGGAGAAGAGAGTCTTCTCTCCATAGAGAGATAGGGAAAAATAAAAAAAAAAAACCCAGAGGCACTCAGACATAATCACATAATCAGCAAGGCCTCAGCAACAGCCCACAGATGATGCTCCCAGGTTCATTTACCTCTGGAAATGACCCACACTGATGACTGCACTGCAGTACTACACTCTCATTCCCGCCTAAGTGAACAGACTAGTTGCCTCCTCGAACAAAAACACAAATGCCCATGGGTATGCAGCATCTCACACACAAGTTTTCTGTAGTAGAGGCAAAATTTCTAAGCTCCTATTCATGCAATTACAACATACAAAACAGCTACTTGCCATTTGCTAGTGAGAAGAGAAAGATACTTCAACATTTCATTTGTTAGGTGCAATATTTTTTCCTTTCACATTTCGTTACACCTGCCACTACAGACGTACCATGTAGAAATGCTCCAGGCGGATTCCATACACCTTCTGCAGGACTCTCATGTAAATCATGTGTAAAACGTCAGACTGCAAGAAAAAAGGACGCGAATCAGTATTCCATATGATTGCCTATTCAGGTCTCCCAGGCTAGGCCGTAAAAGCAGTTCAACCTTTAACACATGAAGACCAATTTCATTGAGCCACCAAGCCTAACAAGTTTTACTTTCCAATACTTTGCAGTGCAAGGATTACTATCTCATAAGAACCAGCAATCAGCTCAGACAACTACAGCCCTAACTTCCACAGCTACAGATTGTTTTTCATTACATTGCTTCTCACTGAGCAGTTTTCAAACCAAGTGACAAAAAAAAAAAAAAAATCGAAAGAAGGCCACAGGAACTACAACCCCACAGCAAAAAGCACCCTTCATCACATTATTAAACGGAGGGGAAAAAGACACCTACAAGCCAAACAGTTACTCGTTTACCACACTAATCCACAATCAGCTCAAACCAATCTTCCTTCTTAAAAACGATCATGTCACGGTTCCCTAAAGAAGCAGGGCCAACCTCCTCCTTCAGCAGGCACAAGCACTTACACAGCAGCACAAGGAATCACACTGAGGCATCAACTCAATTTTAAAGCCACTTCTCTTTTCTGGAGGTCACTGCAAGTCTGTACAAACATTGATGGTCAAACCAATACAAGGAAAAAAATATAAGAAAAGAAGGGGTGGAGCAGGGAGGACTTGATCTTTACAGGGTTGGTTTAAAAGCATTAGTCCATCAACTGAGCTGTCAAAGCCCTGACACTATGCCAAACGCAGCGGCTATTTAACCTGCTTCCCACGGAACGGAGAAAGACAGACACGTAACTTCATGCGTGCCCGTTAACGAACCCACTCGCTTCCCGGTGAGGCCTGAGCACGCTTC